ACCTTTTTACCTGTCATATTCGACTTTCTTCCGCAGCCGTTTTTGCGCGCCCGCGGCCTACCAAGCTGTTCCGCATCCACGCCGTGCCCATTGACCTCGACTCCCCAGACTGGGATCCTAGTCCTTCAGTGCTTGAGGAACTCCAGAGCGATCCGTACACCCTACCTACAGCCAAATCCGAACAATCAGATTTGCCGGAAGTCAAATCGGAGAAATCAAAGACGAACCCAATGAACCGGCCCACCATCACCAATCCTCAGTTGGTGTTCAACCAGCTACAGTCATTACCACTCAGGCCTTTCCTCCACCTCCCAAAACACCCCCAGTTCCGGCACCTTCTCTTCCCAAGCATTCCACCACACACCGAGCGCGCACGGCACGCTCCTCCACTGGAGCCGAGCGCTCAAAGCCACTTCCGAGGATCTTGCCCGCGCACGGGAGAAACTCCAGGCACATGGACTGGAACTCACCCCCAACAAAGACACTGGCCGCCCCAGCGCTCCCTCTGTCCCCGCACCCCCTCCCGCACCTCACCAACCACCAGCGCTCCCAGACGTGCTTCAACCGTCCTACCCCACCCTCAAGGACGACGCCCCAGAAGCATGGACCGCACCCTCCATCCAACAATGGATGCGGACCTTTGAGCCCAAAGTCCAAGAAGCAGCTCAGGAAATCTTGCGTTTACTCCAGACTAGCAAAGTTTCCACTGACCAGCTTAAGGAGGCCGCGACCCTCCCACTGCTTTCCACTCTCATCCATTACAGCCAATACATTGAACGCGCCGAGCCTCATCCACATCACACTTCTCTTTTGCTACCCTTCCTCTACCCAACGTTCCCAGCAATGGCGTCAAAGACTTCAACACCTCCACATACAACCTCACACTTACCACTACCACAACTTTCTTTCTTCCAATGCAGTGTATGTCAAACTCTACTTCAACCCCACCACCCCACAACGCTGCTACCACCAGCACGGCCATTTCTACATCGGCTCCACTGGCATCGGCATCCCACACAGGGAACACAACCGTCGGGCAAAACTCAAACAATTGCAAAACAACATTCCAATTTCAGCGGAACTGTCCCTTCGTTACTGGCATTCCCACAACAACATCCACCACTTCACACCCATTCAACTTTCCTCACATGACACTTACGACCAGGCTTGGATCCAAGAACACTACCTCGTTTCCAACTGGATGCCGCCACTCAATTGGCCTTTCATCTCCCACCGCCTCAAGCTCAAAGCTCAAGGTTGGCAGTTCACCAAACACCGCGCCCATTTTTACTCCCGCCTGGCAACCCACAAGCGACTTTTCCGCAAGCTTCGCAGACGGCAACATGCCATTCACGAACCACATCTCTTTACCTCCACTCGACTGTACTCCCTCACTCTTCTTCGCAATCTCACCAAACACACGCGGGCATCCTTTGAAGCAGCCAAACAATTGCGCAGCGGCAAGCATACTGACCTGGAGGTCTACGGCATCCGAAGAATGGCATCCAACCTGGAAGAGCCTGGACGCAGCAGAGCACTCCATATCATCAACCAAGCCCTCCAGTACCGCAACCTCAGTCCGCCCAAGCCAAACATCCCCCTCACCATACCGTTCCTAGCCCACGATCAGTTTCCCAGACACTGTGAACAGTGGCTTAAAACCACAATCCAGCACCACAAACACCTGGCCATCCCGCTCCACCTGCCTACTCACCGTTTGCGAGAAGCGGCCCACAAGACTCTCCGGGCCCAATTGCACAACCACCGCACCTGTGAAGGCACATTGCTGAACCCTCCGACCGCCAATGACTTGCCATGCGCCTGCGATCACCTGAAAACCATTCTACTTGATCCAACCACACCCACAATCGACGACCACTACATCCTCACCCTTGAACAACTTGCACTACCACCGCACCTCCGCATCTTCTTGGCAGCCAATATGAACAGCGCCATTTACCCCAGCAAAGCCAGATATTTCCTTACCTTCCGGACAGCTTTCACCAAATGGCTACGCGTTCAAGGCCTTCCACCCTCACTCACACAGCACTTGGAACCTTTCCTCCAGCACCAATGGAGGCTCCATACCGACCATTTGAAACACCAACCCCGCTTCACGGCCCGCCTTCTCCGGCAACTCCAGGAATTTCTGGGCGACCAAGTCGTCCTTCACCATGCTGACCACGAACTACAACAGCTACGCATTTTCTGCCCCCGCCAATACTTCGCCGGGGCGCTTGCCACCTGGCAGTCGCCGGAACTCTTTGCACCCATGCCGACAATTGAATCGTCAAACATCCACGAACACTTGACACACACCATCCCCCCCAGCCTCCGCACACGTTACAAATGGGGCTTCAGAAAAGATTTCACGATCCCCTACGGCATCGTCCACCTCAAGGAGAAGAAACAGTGGAGAAAAGGCCGCGCCATTATCTCGTACTTTCAGTCCTTGAGCGGCAATCTCCTCCGCATTACCAGCCGAGCCCTTGACATTATCCTGCAACACCTCCTCCCCCAGCATCCAGGTCAACTATCAATTCCAACACTGTGGTCCCATTTTCACTGCTACCTCACCGACACGCCGCCCGACATCCCCCTACATGCCACCAATGACGATCTTGTTGGCTTCTTCAACTCAGTTCCACAGCGCCGCCTGATTGACGCCGTCCACTCCCTCATTCAGCAATGGCAACGCCAGAACGACGCCCACACGCTTACCGTTGACACCAAAGCCACTGGCAACCCTTTCCACCACTCCCACATCGGCAGGCACCACCAACGCCACCCTACACAACGCACCATCCACACTGCAGACATTACAACCATTGTGGCATATGCACTTGACACCTGCATTTTCCGGGCATGCAACAACACCTACAAGCAAATCCGGGGGGCTGGGATTGGCTCCCAGCTCTCCCCTGCCCTTTGCAACGTTGCCATCACCCTCATCGAACACTCCTGGCATCAACTTCACAACAATCTCCTTCAACACACTGCCCTCCACTTCGCGTACTATCGCTACGTGGACAACCGTTTCATCGTCCACAATGAACACTTCCTTTCACATCCCGCCATCCAGACCCTCATCCACAACAACTTTTTCGGCGATCCCGTCGAATTGGAGACGGTGGAGGACTTCCACCTTCTGGGGTTCAACATTGACCTCCAGCAACGCACCATTACTTACATACAACCCACCCAACCCTGGAAAATCAGGGACAACACAAGCGCCGGTAGCCAGCGCTTGGCTCTGTCCGGCTTAGCTTCAAGACTTCACTCCATCTATACCTACACTCAACGCCACCGCTGCGGCTGAAGCCCTGGTCAACCTGTACGCCCAAAAAGGGCATGACCTGCATGCGCGCAGGCGGTTTTTGAGAGAAAAAGATCCATGTTTCCACCGCTTGCTCTGTGCGCCGATCACGGCTTGTTGTGTGTGTCACACCCTGGTTCTAAGGGTTTTCCACGTTCTCATCTTTCCACTACAACAGAGGCCGGTTCCATTTTTCCACTGATGCAGGGGCGACAGAGTCGCTGCATGGCTGTCGCCAACGAAGCTCCATGCAGTTGACTAGGATATCACGGCTGATCACCGTGACGTACCTGCAACCGAAACCTTTGACCACGCTGTCTAATCTGCTTGGTTTGTTTCCATGGTTTTTCATGATACCTTCCCCCTAAACCATTTCCTCCCCAGCAGAGGTGCAGCTTGAGCCGCTTCGTCACCGCAGTCAAGGGAAACAACCATTGTTCAAACACCTACAATTTCTCGGACTTTTCGCCATACTGTTCCACCGCCTTCCTTCCCAACGTGGCAATTGAGTCTAACTGAAAACCCAAGTTCGAAGTGTGTGTCACCCCCTGTACCAAAGGGTCCAATGCCACCGTTTCCATTACCACCACTTAACAAGGCAGGGGGCCATCCCCCTCCCCAGTGGCGGATGGCCAACGA